AAGACCAGCTTTCACACTGGTTACTGAATTGTTATCAAAGGTCAAGGAGCTCGATGCTTCAGTGGGATTGTCAGGCATCGTGTCAACAGTTGTCACAGTTTCAGGTCCCACAACCCCTATGGAACTGTCAGTATTTTCAGCTAAATCTGTCAAATCCACAAGGTTCTCTTCTGCAGCAGATAAGCTAGAAGTTTCTATGTATTCCAGTTCTCCAACTCTGATTGGGGTTGACTCGTTTATTGCTTCAAGTGAAGAACTCCATGCATTAGAAATGTTGCATCTAACACCATCTAACTCTTCTGAGCAAGAATAACTGTTAATGAGATCCATGGATACTGGTTGTTCAGTGCTTTCAACAAAATTGGAGTAGAAAGACTCTGCTGCTTGTGGTTTAAAAGACATTCTCAGAAGATGATTTCCATTTGACATGCCCAAAACAGACTTGTCTTGAGCATTAAATCTGTACTGAAAATCCTTTTGGAATGGAGTGAAGGGTCGCAAACCTCCATTGAATGAAATCTGTTAGAGGCATCAGTTGAGATAAATAAATGAACGGCTACAAAGAAACAATTAAGCACTATAATTTTAAAGGTTCTTCAGGATTAGGGAAAAACATTTGTTACAAAAGAAAATTCCTTTAGGAATCAAAGGAAGATAAAGCAAGCAACAAATGACCAACTACTTGTTTATCCAGTAAACATAAAGCAATGCCCACAATAACTAGTAGATACTAAAGACTTGAAAGAAGAAATGATAAGGTGTTTACTGACACAAAGTATTCACCTCAATGCTGCTCTGACGTAACAAACTACTACAAGCTCCTCACTACTCAAACAGATTGAATGTTCCATACACAGTTGAACTTCATTAGTTAAATTTGAAGATAGTCATTTAAGCTTGAAACATTCAAATATCCATAAATGATTTAAAACCATTAACACAAAGATATAGTAAAGCAGTACAAGCAATTAAAATAGTGCATAGAAGAAGAAGTTCAATGTTTAATAAAGTGAACTCCCACCTGTGAATGTGAAGAACAACCAGGGGTGGCTGAGCAAACAGGCAACATGTTCAAAAGTTCACTACAGATGACAAACCTTGGAAAATTTCACTGAACTCTCATATCTGCTAAAGTTCGAACAAATAGAAACACATCAATATCCAATATAAAGACACCTGACTAATGAGAAACAGTATGAGTTCATAGGATTGAAATATGAAAACATTAAAAAAACAAAAAAAAAAAGATAGATTTTCATGAGAATTCAAAGCCAAAAAATCACAAATATCAATGGGATAAAAAAATAAGCAACCTTGGAGTACAACCCATTTTAATATTTAGGACAACGAGATCAGGACTTTAAGTTAATACATTCTCTTCAAACTGTTTTCTTCATTGAGTTACTTCAATTTAATGTCTAGAGTCATTGCATAAAACAATACCCGAATTCAACAAGGAAAAAAAAAACATCTTTAACATGGGATTCTTGAAAACTTCATGGAAAACTAACAAATAGATCAAATATTCAAGTGGGTAGCGAGTAATTAGTTTGTAAAAGCAAGCATCTACCAAAACTGAAGCAGGTAAAATTAAAACATGATGACGAAAGTAATGAGCAGAAGGGAGCTCTTACTCGATAGGTGAGAGTGAAGAAAGGAGGAACATGAAAATGAAGAAAAAGAAAATATATAAACGGAAAAAAGTGGGTGACGGTGGAAAATCGTGTGGCTTGTTAGCTTCATCTATTAATGGCTGACTTGGCTACTCTTTGCCTCTCATTTGGTTTGTAGGGACAAATTTTGGATTCTCAATTCTCTTCTCATTGGCCAAAATATATAAACCAATTTCTCTTTCTCTGTCCTTATTGTCATTTTTATCTAATTCTAAAGTTGCTCCTATGATCTTTATATGGGACTAATGTCTAAATTGGGTCTAAATCTTTCCAAATTTGCTCAATTTGAGGCTAAACTTTTAAACATGACCAAATTGGGTCTAAACGTTAGTAAATTGCACCAAATTGGGCCTATTTTGGACGAAAATTTGGAACTCTAGTAACGGCGTGTGCCACAATTCCGTCTAAAATAGACTCAATTTGGTGCAATTTGCTAACGTTTAATCCAATTTGGTCCTGTTTAAAGGTTTAGGCTCAAATTGAGCAAGTTTGAAAAGGTTTAGTCCTAATTTGGACATTAGGCCTTTTTATATGTCTACTTAAATCCCCTACTAATTAATTGGACCGGACCTGCCGGTCCGACTGGCTACCGGACAGGTTTCCGGCCTAATTAGAGTATGCAGACCGCGGTTTCCTTAAACCGTAGTAGAACCACATGGATCGATTGAACAGAAACCGAGAAAACCGGTGAAATACAGTTTTTGTATTTTTTTTAAAAATGTTTTATCGGATTAAACTTTAAAAATTGAAAAAAAAAATTCAAAATTGAAATCAAAATACAAAACCTAAAAACTAATAAGGTATAATAACTAAGTCAGAAAGAAAGAGAGTGGCGCCTAGCCGTTGAGAGAGCATTTGTTGTCTTTGTAGAGGAACAGTAGGATCTTTGACTGGCTAGGTTTTCGGATGAGACACCGAGATAGGGATTAGGATTGGATAGGGAAGTAGCTTAGGCATAGGAGCACGAGCAAAGGAGAAGTAGCTTAGGCATTAATAATCAGCATATATGTATATATACATACCTTCATCTCACTTAGTAAAATGTCTTCAGAAAAATGTCTCACACTCTACAACAACAACACACTTATAAGTACTTAGAAGAAGAAAAATTGTTTTGTACCCAAAAAAAGAAGAAGAAAAATTGTTTTCCTTAGGAAATTGAAAAGTAGCATATACATGTAACCAAGAAGTTCTTTTTCTTTTTTGGCTAACAAACTCAAAAAGTGTAAATGAGTAGAGTACCTTCAGATTACGTTATTGCTGCATACGGCACCGATGCCTCTGAAACCGCCAGGTGGGAGCGCCTGTATTGTTGTTAACAACAACAAAGCTAACAACAAAGCTTTGTTTAATTAAGTTGCTTGACAATAGTTTAGTCAACAAGTTTATGGTGGACATAGAGAATGAAAATACCATTCAGTCTATTATCCAGATTTGTTGATATATAAAGTGCAGATGCTAGCTAGAGTATTAATTAATTTTAATTTTAATTTATCAATACTGTTAATTTTAATTTTAATTTATCAATACTGTGCGTGAACTTTTACTCTATATTTAAACAACTAAAGACTCCAAGACAAGCCAAGTTCTCTCTTTTATCTTCTTTTCCTTTCTTAGCATGATTGGCTTTTTTAAGTGGTATTGGTTGTTGTTTAACCCTAGTGCATACTTTAAATGTTGTCTTATTCACTGTTTGGCAGAATGGCTTTTTTCATGGGTGAAATTCGATTTCATTACTCTGGAAGGTTTGTAGGTGATGGGGAGTCCTTAGAATATGTAGATGGAATAGTTAATAATCTTACTGTGGATCCAGATAAGTTGAGCCATATAAAGTTGCTTGGAATATTAGATGATGCTGGGTACAGGAATATAAAAACGTTGTTTTACACCAGGGTACCCTTTATGTTCAAGGGGTCTGAGGGCAATGTCAAATGACAGAGAGGTATTAGTCATGTGTGATGACTTATCAATACATGGGTCAGTGGATATATATGTAGAACATGGGGTAGATGTCCCTGAAGATGCCCCTTTGTTGATTGATGGAGTTGAAGATGTGCTAGAAAATGGAGCAATGGGTGACCAAAATGCAGAACAACCGGCTGGTGATGATCATGTAGGAGAACAGGGTTTAGGAGACAATGGTGATGCCAATTTAAATGGCCAAGCTGATATTGGTGATGGGCAATTAGGAGGTGATGGAGGTAATGGTCAAGGTGAAAACAATAATATAGATGATAGGCAGAATGTTGAAGTTCCAGTTGAAGATATTGATGAGGTAGCAATAAATGCAACTTTTGATGATTTTGAAACAATCTTGGAAGAAATGGTTCAGCAAGGAATGAACAAGGTAAGTGGGGTATCAGTTGAAGTAGAAACTTTTGGTACTGGTTTTAGGGAAGAAAATGTAGGGAATGATGATGAGGGGTCAGTAGAGGGTGCATCAGATGATGAAGTCGAAGAAGGGTATTGGGATCTACTTAGCTCTTCTTATTATTCTTCTGAGGATTTAGGGGACTATCCATCTGATGAGGAAGAAATGGTGGATGATGCAACAAGGACAAAGAGTAAGTTTCCTGTCTTCAATCCAGACAATCCTCACCCACACATAGAAACTGAAATGGTTTTTAAAAATGTTGATCAGTTTAAACAAGCAGTTTCTTTGTTGTCTATTACAGAGAAGAAGGCAATACTTTGGGTTAAAAATTGAAAGACAAGGGTTAGGGCTAAGTGCAGTAATGAGAAATGTCCTTGGCACATTTATGTTTGCATTGACAAGTCAATCGAAAGTTTTCAAGTGCAAACTTTTCATGGAAAACATCAATGTGATAGAGCTTTCACTACCCCAAGGTTGTCTCAAAAGATGCTGGTGAAATTGTTTAGTGCAGAAATTCCAAGGCAACCAAACATAGGTTATGTTGAGCTTATACAGTTTGTTAAGGATAAATATGAATTTAATGTCAATCACAATATGGTGAAGAGGGCGAAGAGAGAAGTTATAAGAAAAATAGCTATGAACTATGAAAAGGAATTTGCTAGTCTGAAAAGATATGATGCAGCCATTAAAGAGAGCAATCCAGGGAGCTCTGTTTGGAATCAATGCGAAAAGGAAAATGAAGATTCTCTTGTTTACTTTAGGAGATACTATGTCTATTTGCATAATCTGAAAAGGGGTTTTACCTTGGGGTGTAGGCCTTTCATTGGTTTTAGATGGATGTTTTTTGAAAAGTTTAACCAAGGGAGAGTTATTTGTAGCAGTGGGTAGAGATGGAAACAACCAAATGTTTCCATTTGCGTGGGCATTTTTTGAGAAAATTCAATTCATTGATTTTAACAATCTGGATTACAAACGGGCAGAGAATCCCCGCTCCAAACACAATTGAATCCAACCTCACAATCTAAGTGGGCTAATTCATGTGCAAATTTATTAGCTACACGATTAACATAACTAAATTTACAAGAATGAAACAAAGAAGCGATATGCCTAATTTGATCCACTAGGACCCCACCCTCCCACAACGAGCCTTCTAACTTATTAATCTCAGATATAGCCAAACTTGAGTCGCTTTCCACTTCACAATCTACTAAATTGTAGGATTTTGCCACTAATAAACCAAATTGTAATGCATAAATTTCTGCAAAAAGAACATCACGTACATGATCAATCCGTGCTGTAGCACATAAGAACACCACTCCCCTCGAATCCCTAATTACCACCCCAAGGCCAGCCTCATTTCGTGAAGCATGAAAAACAGCATCTGCATTAACTTTAAAACAATTTCGTGCTGGAGGACTCCATACATGCACCATTCTTTGTAGTACCCCATTATTCTCCCTTCGACATTGAGATTGCTCCATTTCATGAACTAGGCGAGTCGCCTTAATAACCAAAACAGATGGCAGAGCACAAATTCTCTCATGTATCACTTTATTCCTATTCATCCAAAGCAGCCATAACACTACGCATACAATTTCAATAGTTCCCAAATTCTGAGCCTTTATCAATAAGCATTCCCACGATTTATCTCGTCTCTCCCAATTATTCAAATAGTTTCGAAGCCAAGGACAAACTGTATCCCAAACTCTCTGACTAAAAGGACATGAGAAGAAGATATGAAATAGAGAATCCTCCATTGCACCACACATTTCGCAAGTACTCGAAATTTCAATTCCCTTTTGCTGCAGGGTCTTTTTTGTTGGCAAAATGCCCGTCACCAAGCGCCACATGAAGTACTTAACTTTAGGAAGAACCAAGGCTCCCCACAGAAGCCTCCATTTCACTTCCCTCAACACCATAACTGGACTCGATCTTCCCAAAATCATCCTAGCAACATGATATTCAATACGAACTGTATAATAGCCATTTTTCGAATGGCTCCAAATTAACTCATCGCGGCTTACTTGAGTAAAAAAAGGAACACTTAATATTCTTGCTACATCATCATCCACAAACAATTCTCGAACTAAATCAACATCCCATTGCCCCTGATCATCAAACAACACCGAAACTGGGTTACTTTGACAAATCGTTCCAGGTCTAGGTGTCGGACGAAATGCAGGTGGATTATTCAACCATTCATCACGCCATATATCGACACTCATCCCATCACCAATCCTCCATCGACAACCTTTCTTCAACACTTCTCTTCCCGCCATTAAACTACGCCACACAAACGAAGGGTTAGAACCCAAAGTTGCTCTCATGAATGTTTCATCTCTAAAATATCTGGCTTTGAAAACCCTGCAACAAAGCGATGATTCCTCGCGAATTAACCTCCAACACTGCTTTGCCAGCAGAGCAAGATTAAAAGCTTCAAAGTCTCGAAATCCTAAACCACCATCTAACTTTGCAATACATAGAGAATCCCAAATTTTCCAGTGAATCTTCCTATTAGTATCAGTACTACCCCACTCTCTTATTTTTACCAATCCTAATCGGCATTCCCAAGTATTTATCCCGGGCCAGGATTTTTTGCACCCCTAGTCTCCGCATAATAGAATCACAAATACAAGCCGGAGTATTGGTACTAAATAAAATTGCTGACTTATCCACATTGATTTTCTGTCCAGACGCCAATTCAAACTGATGTAAGAAATCTAAAATCGAATCATATTCCTCCAATGTAGCTCACAAGAATAATAAACTATCATCTGCAAATAATAAATGAGACACCCTTGGCGCAGCTCGTGCAATTGAGACACCTTGAATAGACCGAGACCTCTCTGCATGTTGAAGTAAACACGAAAAACCTTCCATACAAAAGAGAAACAAATATGGTGAGAGCGAATCACCTTGGCGAATACCTCTACTCGGGAATATTGTACTAGTTTGAACCTCATTGACTTGAATTGAGTAAGTGACTGTGCGCACACATATCATTACTAGGGAAATCCATCTTTCTGTAAATCCCATCTTTCTCATTATCCCTTCAAGAAAAGGCCATTCCACCTGGTCATAGGCCTTACTCAAATCCAACTTCAATGCCATGTGCCTCTTACCCCCTTGTCTCTTATTCTTCATATAATGAATGGTTTCATAGGCTATCATCGAGCTATCAAAGATCTGTCTACCCAGTACAAAAGCACTCTGATTTGGCCCGATTATCTGTGGCAACACCATCTTCAATCTATTTACTAAAACTTTAGAAATAATTTTAAAGAGAACATTACACAGGCTAATCGAACGAAAATCTTTAGGAGATTGTGGATTATCACACTTGGGTACTAGAACAACAAGTGTATGATTGATATCTGGAATAGGAACTCCTCGATTAAGAAAATCTAAGACTGAACGACATACATTATCCTTAACTATACTCCAAAACCTCTGATAAAAGAAAGGAGTGAAACCATCAGGGCCTGGTGATTTATTTGGACCCATTTGGTATGCTGCTGCACGCACTTCCTCTTCATCAAAATCCCGACACAATAATTTATTCATACCAGGGGACACCCGAGAATTCATTAAAGCAACCACCGACTCCAAGTCCACTCTATCCGGATTATTCGATGTAAAGATGTCTCGAAAATAATCAGCAATTATCTTCTCCATTTTAGCATTTTCCACAACCCGCACCCCATTCTCATCTACAATTGAGGAAATTACATTCCTCCTTTGCCTTATAGTTGCAGTAGCATGAAATGTTTTAGAATTACGATCACCTTCCTTCAACCAATTGATTTTCGCTCTTTGCCTCCATTTAGTTTCCTCCTTATCATAGAGGCCATTCAAATCATCCAAACATTGATTTAGTGAATTTAAATCAGCCCCTAATTGTACTTCATTATATAGTCTTTGCAAATCTTTCTTCCTTTGCCAAATATTAAATTTCACATTACCAAAAATATGGCAATCCCACTGTTGTAAAGTTTCAGCACAATCATTAATAGTACTTTTAATATCCTGATTACAATCTTTATTCCAAACTTCATCAATAACCGAATTGATATCACCATGCAAAGCCCACATATTTTCAAATCTAAATCGCTTTGACACATGCAAATTCGATACTGGCTGATCAAGGCAATGAATCAAAAGAGGAAGATGGTCTGAAACTGAAGTACAAAGATGATCCATAAAAGAAAAATTAAACTTATTCAACCAATTCTCATTCACAAAACAATGATCCAATTTCGCAAAATGCATTTCCTGACCATGCTTTCTAAACCAAGTTAAACGAGGGCCTTTAATAGGTAACTCTCTAAAATTACAATATGTAATTACCTCCCTAAACGCATCCATTTGTCTTTGTGATTGCAAAGCACCGCCACGCTTATCATCGTTGGAGAGGATCTCATTGAAATCGCCCGAACAGACCCATGGTAAAACCGATTGTTCCTTTAGCAAACGTAGCAAACTCCAAGACTCATGTCGTCGAGACGTTTCCGGTCGGCCATAAAAACCCGTAAAACGCCATTGATTCACAACAACATTCTCAACAATAGCATCAATATGTGACAAAGAGAAAGAGGTAATATTTACATGAAAATTATTATTCCAGAGCAAAGTTAGACCGCATACTCTGCTTATACTACTAACAGAGAAACAACATTCATAACCCAAATAACACCGCAACCATTCCATTTCATTACTAGACTTTTTAGTTTCGGACAAAAATACCATATGAGGCTTATTACATGAAATTAAAGAACGTAAAACATGAACTGACCGCCAAGCACCAAGCCCGCGGCAGTTCCAAACTAGAAGACTCATGGCCCTTGGCAGGAGTGGCTCCCCTTGTCCACCCCCGCCGTCTCCTGATCATATTCTCGGCCCGCCTCGAGAGCTACAGCAGCCAACTTCGAAGACCTAGCTATAGCAATAGCCTGATCACCACCAATGCTAATGAAATCCTCTCCACAGCTCTGAGTTCCACCCACCCCAGCATCAACTCGATACTTCTCCAGCCCCTGCTCACCTAGATTAGCACAAACCATACACAACCTACCTCCCTGGCATAAATTAGTTTTCACCCCCTGGCTTGTTACAGCAGCAGTTTTCTTAAATTTCCTCACTTGGCGAGAAGTACCTGATGTGTCCGAGCCCATTACAAAAGGGGATGCAACAGCCTGATTCTTCATTGCCTTGTAAAATTCATCCTCTGAGCCAATACCCGAAACAACATCTATTTCCATCATTGAAGCCCTATGCCTTTTTCCAACTAGACCAAAATCAGCCTGAGAAAGGAAATACAAGTCCATCACTGAAGGTCCAACCCCTGGTATGTTACCATACAATTGTTCCACCGTATTAGGCCTACTACTTCCCTGTCTAGTTTGCTGTAAGCCCAAGTAGTTATCCTCACCTCCTTCTCCACCACTTTGCTGTTGTTTTTGTAGAGGAGTAGTTACTATCTTTCCCCCCACTCTTTCGGTACCAGAACCCTCAGCATGACTCCCACGACTCAAGGCCACTCTTCCCACTCGTTTAGAATTAACCTCCCCCTGACTTCTGCTCCATATTCTTAGCCTCAAATTTTGAAATTATCTCACATGATTTTTCCGGAGGCAAGATTGCACGCGCCACCTGTTTTCCTCTCAACAACATGGTGTCCACATGGTCCCGGAAAGCCTCACGACGCCCCGAAGCTAGAAATGATGAACTAGGCATAGCCTACGTACCTCGACCCTTACTAGCAGCCCTCGATCCCATCAGTTCCTGGTTAGAACTCGTCCCCATTTTTGCCGAGCTACGAGGACTAGCATCCTTTGGTTTGAATCTACGAACAGAGAAACCATACTCCATAATCTGAGCAATCGATTCTGTACGATCAGTTTCTTGATGATCAACTCTCTCGCACACCCAACAGTAATCCGGGCGTTTATCATACTCCAAGCCGATCTCTACATCCCCTGAAGCAGCCGATAAAGTTGTTCCTCTCCTAAATGGGAGTCTAAGATCCATATCGACTCGAATTCGCAAGATCTGCCCTGTTATTGGCTCAATATCAAGTACATTTCTCATAGTCTCCCCAATTCCAAGACCAACTTTCTCATTCATCATCTTGAATGGAACACCATGGACATTAACCCAAAATGGACAAGATTCAAAAACCATATTCTCTGGTTGTTGCTCACCATCATATTCCCTTAGAACCAATAATGCTTTGTGGTAAAGCCATGGTTGCGATACAAACACCCTATCTCGTTCCAACGCATCCCCAAACTGAAAAACAAAAAGTCTCCCACCCACCTCTCGAACAATCAAATCTTTCTCAAGCCTTCAAACCTGCTTAAAAACCACTAGCAACCCAACCGCTATTACAGGCTTCTTCAACAGCAACTTCCCAATTAGGTAAATATTAGCTTCTGCACCATTTGGATTATCAATCCACTCATCAGCAATAATCACTTTGTCTTTTTCTTCCTCCTGAATCGACATCTTAGAGCACATATTGGACAAAGAAGCACCGACCTTTGAGGGAGTATAGGAAATAACAGATGAGAAAAAAACAAAAAAAGACAACAGAGGAAAGAGGTACAAGAAGAAAGAGATAATCAAGGTTAACAGAGAAAAAAGGCACGATGAGAGAAGGAGATGCGAAGAAGAAAGATACAAAGAAAAATAAATAACTAGAGGTTTCAGAAAAACCAAAAACATAGTAGATAAAATTAGAATCCTGGAACCGGATATTATTCAATTCAAATAATTGAATTTGAAATTGAAAAAGAGAATAAGCAATCGATATCGAAACCGAAACGTCCAAAAGATTTGAGAATGAATGAACAATTGCACTGTATCCTAACAGGCCATAAACACCACTAGACACGGCTAGGGGAAGAACTCCACCATGGGGAAAACTCTCTAAAAGCACAGCCATATGAAGGGGATTTAATGGTACTCCCTAACTCCATTTGCGTGGGCATTGGTTGAGGTTGAATGTAAAGAATCATGGTTGTGGTTTCTGGAAAATCTGAGCAAGGATATTGATTTCCGAGATGGCAGAGGCTAGATTTTTATGTCTGACCAAATGAAAGTAACACATATTCTTACAGTTTACTTTCTTTATTTTTTTTTGTTTTTTAAGTTCTATGCTAGTTTTTTCAATGGATTTACATCTGTTTACAGGGCATAGATGTGGCAATACAAGACCTCCTCCCTTATGCCGAGCACAGATTTTGTGCAAGGCATATGTATTGCAATTGGAAAGACAATAAAAATAGAGGCAGTGAGTTGAAGGAAGCATTTTGGAAGATTGGAAAGGCTTCAAATAAGACTGTTTATACGCAGAAGCTTGAGGAATTGAGGGCTTGGAATTCCAAAGCTACAAAAGACATTGAGAGGACACCAGTTAGGCAGTGGTGTAGGGCTTTTTTTGAGCACACAAGGTTATTGCGACATGATTGACAACAACATGTGTGAGGCCTTTAATGGCACATTGTTGACGGCTAGGAAGATGCCTGTGGTGTCTTTGTTTGAGGCTATTAGAAGGAGGCTCATGGTAAGAATTGGAGAGAAGAGAAAAGAGGCTGAAAAGTGGAAAGGGAATTTGGGTCCAAACATATGGAAGATCATCAACCAAAATGCAGAAGTGGCAGATAACTGTATTGTTCATTTCAATGGAGCTGCAGGTTATGAGATTCTACATGGGACTCAACAGTTTACAATTCATTTAGACATGAAGACATGCAGCTGCCGTAGGTACACAGACTCAGGCATACCTTGTGCACACGCCATTTGTGCAATCAGGCATAAACAAGCTAACATTGAAGAATATGTGTCAAGTTTGTACAACAAGGATGTTTATCTGTTGGCATATGGGTTTCCTTTGCAACCCATGCTTGGCATAGATGCTTGGCCCCAAATTGAAGAGGCAGAACAGGTCAACCCACCCCGTTATAGAAGAATGCCAAGGAGGCCCAAGACTGCTAGGAAAAAAAAAGTTGGAGAGGAGGCCAAAAAGCCCAAAACTGCAAGCACCAAAATGTCTAGGAAGGGCATGATAATGACCTACCAACTTTGCAACAAACAAGGTCACAATAAAAGAGGGTGTCATCTGCAGGGCAGAGAGGTAATTTAACAATTTTGTCATTTTGTGGTTTATGCTCATTACTGTTCAATCACATGTGTTCAATTTTTAAAGCTGTATGGATTTACACTTTACATATTTAATGCTATCTCCTTTTTCCCTTTTGCTTTCTGTGCCAGGAAACACAAGACCAGCATCTTTCCCCATCAGATCTACAAGTCTCTGTCTCAGAAAAAATGTCAACAACGCCAGAAGAAGTTGGAACTTCCCTAAATCAAACGAAGAAAGACCCACCCAGAAACCCAGCAAGATCAACTGCTAAGGTCTCTAGTAATGGTGCAAATGCAGAAGCTGAGTACTCAGGTATCACTTTCCTCCTAATTTCATTTTGCTATAAACTTTCTTGGTTTAGATCTGCACATTTGTTGTCATTAATGTTGATTTATGTTCATTACACCACGAAGGGGATGGAAGTGGAAATGCTTCTGCTCAGTTTGCATTTGAAAATGCTGAGCGGACAAATGGCCATGTAATTGCCAATGTCAACACAACCAACCAAATCCCTGCAAATGCACCATCCACAACCCTCCATGAAGAACTCAATGTAGTATCAGTGCCAAGAGAAGAGAATCCCAGAATTGTGAGGGCAACAGTGAATCGAGCAACAACCCCTACTCAAGGAGAAACATCATCTAGTAAAAAGCCTTCAAGGAACAAAAGACCTCCAAAAGCCAACTGTAGAGCACCTATTGGAAGGGTGATTTTAGATAATGATGGAAGAGTCATTAGCAGCACTGAACCTGAATTCAGAACAGTCCAAAATCAGTTGCCAGGATGCAAGGAAGAAGTGGCAACACTAATGTTCAAAGAAGTGGACCTGCTAATCTGCAAAGAAGTGTTGCGACCTCATCTGTTGGAAGTCAGCTATCAGGTGCTTCTACTTGTATTGGAGGGTCTAAGAAACAGTCTAAACAAGGTCAAAATAGCAAGAAAAAAACAAGGATGCAGGGTATAGGGCTGTACACAAACTTAGAAACAGGGCGACAGATTTATGATGTAAGTGTGTTACTTATGTCCTTTATCTTATTTCATTAGTTTGACCAACCAC